AAAAATTTCAAGACTATTCTGGCACGAAGCCCGAAGGGATCCCATCCGATCGACAACGCGGTTTCTCGTACCCGATTGCTTTCCGAAAGCCGAGCCGGGTTTATTTTGGTTGTCAAGCGACATTGAGAAGCGGGTCGCGAAGAATCCTTCTCAAGATATTTCTGGAAGCTGACATTAAAGCGTGGCCAAACGGCAATCTTCTTTTTTTCTAAATTTACACCGACTTGGACTGGTCAGTTCCGCTTCGACGAGGACCTACTATGGCGAGGCGTCGGTCGTTGATTTTAACATATTGTTTTTCCTTTCTTTAATATTAGTTAGAGGACTGGTGAATTGGACAACTATATTTAAATCCGTAATTTACTCGCTTCCTCTACACAAATTCTCGAATTATTTCAAATAATTTGAAATTTTTTTAGAGACAATTTTGGTCCCACAGTATTTTTTTGACCTCTTCAAATAAGGTACTGCAACTAGCTCACCGGAATTTGTTAAACTCTTTAGCGGCTCTATAATAATATAAATAAGCTCAAATAAATAAATTAAAAAGAAACGCACGAATGAATTGTCTAAATTTGTGTTTTTGTGTACAATCATCTTCACTTTTCCAATACTAATCAGCCACTTAAATCAAAATTTCAGTGCATTAATATAAGACAAACAATAAATCACTAATCCCAACCACTGGATAACTCTGTTTCAGAGAACTTTCTTATTTCACATTCAAAATACTTCTTGTTACGAAACCTAGCAGGATAAGAAAATATATTTCATAGTACCTTTAATTAAAAAAAGGTTTGGTACGCAAACAAAATTTTCCATTGGTCATTTCATGTTTGTCGCCTCTATGGGTCTATTATTGGGAGGCAATATTATGTTGTTTTTTTCCATTTTTTTTGTCGACATTCGTGAAATTTTGCCTTCATAAAGTAATGTACCGTCATTCTTAAGGTGAGTTTATAGGTACAGAGATTTAATTTAACATTTAATTTAATTGATAATTGAAATTTAATGAAGGCGTTTATAGAAAAAAATTATTTAATTTTAAAATTGACCAACTTTTAACTTTGTGGTATGTATATAATATACAGTATACAAACATTGTATACATTGACATTAAAATGCTTTATATCATTTAAATAGTAAAGCTATTTAAGTAGTAATGTATATTTTAAGTATTTCAATGGAACGCCGTTTAGAATAACGTCTATCAACGTCAGTTGCTGATTTATTATCATTTATTATATTATCACATAGGTACAAATTCCTTTTTTGTATTTATAAATAGATCAAGAAGCAAGAAATGGGATTAAAAAATCTTTACCTAATCATTCATTTTATTACCCACTTATTTATGATTTACTTATTTCAATTTAGATCTGTAAAAGATCCTTATGCAGATTTTGCGGTAGGGTGGGTTCAAGTCTGAAGAATCCAGAATTTTTTCTGGATTTTTCACACTCCAATTCGCATAAAAAGAAACGATCATTTACATTATTTACAATGAGTAATTTCCATAATAAATACAAAAGTTAAACACTTAAAAATCGAAACTAATGATGCCAATTTGGTTGGAAATGGCTGTTACACTCATATCGTACCGTGTACTTTCCTGCGGTGTGACGTCACACCGACTGCCGCGCATTTTGTGCATATTTATTGTGAAATAAGTATTGCCATTTAAGGGTTCATATTTGGTATAATGTGTTTTCATATATAAACACACACACACACACACACACACAATCGGCAGATTCCCTATTGTCGTCTGATCTTTTCTGATCTGATCTTTTGAAATACTTGGTTCAAATAGGTTAAGCTCAATTTGAACATAGGTAAGCTCTGCATATATACTCAAGACTATGTCGGATTAAAATAAAAATGACCAATTCTCAATATTGTAAGTTTCTATTAAAAAATGACATGCCTGTTTTAAACAAAAATGTTGGTAATTCCAATTAAATATTCATAGCTTCATTTTAAAATTTTAGATATTTATATAGCAACTTGAATTGAGCATACATTGAGTAGTTTTAAAAATATAAAGTTACTCTATTTAAACGAGCATAATTTTATATTTATATTTTAATTATATATTGAATTTTATATTGAATGTTTAAGTTAGTTAGATATATATTTGATAAAGACACGGTGTTGTGGAAACAATTGTCATGTAAAAATATATAATTTCGTGAAAATCTGAACTTTTAGTTCTTATTTATTTAGATATATATTTATTTCTATCCAACAAGTTATACTTGTTTTGTTTGTTCTTATCCCAGTTTTATATTGAGTGGGTGGTAATTTTTCCATAAAAATGAGATATTTTTAAGGTAAATTATTGAATAATTTTGTTTTTTGTTTGTTTGCTACCATTGTGATAAATAACACATTTTATTAAGAAGGTAAGCCGAAGCAGATATCTACATGATTTGCATTAATTTTATCTATTCAAAACTAGCATTTCTATTATTATATACGACAAATTTTGTGATCCAGAATGCAGACTCAATCTAACATGAAAATAGTTACTTCAAACTACTTCTGGAGGAAGAAAGAAACTCATTATCAACTTTTTCTTTTAATCTCGAAAATGGAAGAAGGGAGGCCTGTAGAAAAGATTTCTACCACCGTGTAATATGTATAGACAATTTTTCGTGTTGCAAATTTTCTGTTAGTGTTTGGTTGTCTACTTTTGCTTTAGGAAATCATACAAAAAAAAAACAGAATGAAGTTTAACTCTTTTTCAAAATAAATAAGAACTAAAAGTTCAGATTTTCACGAAATGATATATTATGACATGAGATGTTTCGACAACACCGTCCCTTTATCAAATGTGTACAAATTTGCAACACGAAAAATTGTCTATACATATTACACGGTGGTAGAAATCTTTTCTACAGGCCTCCCTTCTTCCATTTTCGAGATTAAAAGAAAAAGTTGATAATGAGTTTCTTTCTTCCTCCAGAAGTAGTTTGAAGCTTACGAAGTGTATGAACATGTTAATTGCTGTTCTTTCCTACTCTTAAAAGCATTAAAAGAATAAACAAAAGCAACTACTTCAACATTGTGTCATGACTTTTTTTGGTCGTATTGAACAAATTGAAGGATCCATGTATCACATACCAAATTTTTATACTGTATACAAAAACCCATATATATTACACACAAATAATTTTCATTATTTTTGATCAGTTCCCGGGCTTATAGCGTGCACAAGAACTTGCCACATTGATGCAAATTTCTCATATGGCTCCCAACGTTGAGATGTATCTACTCCCTATACCATACTTAAGAAATGTAGGTAGTAAGTGTAGTAACAATAGTGTTCTAAAAATCCAAGCTGATCTTTCAGGAACACATAAGATCAAGGACCAGGTTAGCCTTTCAAGCTCTGTGCGCGTGCCGGAGAGCGGTAGGGGCACTTGGGACCTGGGGCCAAAGATCATGCGTTGGATCTAGGGTAGCATGGTGGTGCCTATGCTCACGCATGGGGCAGTGACATGGTGCGGATAGAGGCGGCCAGGACGGCTGTAAGGCTAACGATCTACGGAGAGAGGGAACCTTCAACCGGGGCCCGTACGGCATTTTAGAAGGCTGGTCCAGGGATCGCGGTGTCATGGACGTGGCGAGTGACGAGTGATTCTTGAGATGACCTTTCTCTTCCCATCAAGGGAGGAGTGGAGAGAGGGCAGAGTTGGAGTTCTGAGTTCCGGGTCACACCGGTATCCGGAGCAATGAGGCAGCGGACGCTTTAGCCAGGGCTAGGGCTCTTCGCATAGGCATATCGGACCAGAGGCCCGCTTGGGGATCGCCCTGTGCGTGAGGCGTGGAGCTCTCGAAGCCTGGGCCAGAGACCGGGCCGCGGGGGGCTGGAGAGATGCTCCGGGAATGAGGCAGGCGAGGCTTATGATGGATGGGCCCGCCCTCCCTCGGACCAGGGAGCTGCTTAGACTGACCAGAAGGGAGTGTAGAGCACTAACAGGGGCCTACACAGGACATTGCAGGCTTAAGAGGCATCTTTGCTTGCTAGGCATTGGAGACCCCGTATCATGTGCTCACCGAGTGCCCTGCTTTAACCTTGGGCAAGATTTGGAGTCTTCGGAACAGCCCTGATCGATCCGGATTCAGTGCACGGTATTGGACTAAAGGAGTGGCTGACCTTCTATAGGAGGAGCGGAATTCTGGACGCCCTGCAGGGTGGATTGGGCGCACAACGGGCCCATCTGGTGCCATAAGTGCTTGGACGCCCGCGGGGGCGCCCCCCTTAAATACTGATAGTGTTCTAAATACATACCTTTCATTACTTTTATAACAGATTCTGAAAGTCCAACTTTTCAATGAGTCTTCTATATTTATTGTTACACAACCCGTACAGTGGTAAAAACTGAAACTGCACTGAAAGTTCGTATGATCAATCGTCACACTTCGTCAGGTTCCGTGCAATCTGCGATATGCGATCAAATCAGACCAAACCGTACATTTTTTAAAAAGTATACGGCACAACCGTATTCTCAAATCGACAGTGTGTTACGTTTTGTTGTTTTCATTTGAAAACTAGGCCGTTTAGAACAGAAAGTAGTATATTTTCTACATAGGTATATATTTCTTCTTCTAAAATTATATATCATCATGTTAAGGAGGCAACACTTTCCAAATAAAAAGATAATGTAATCTCAGAAGTAGAATTTGTGATTCAGGAATAAAAATTTAAAACATTCTAAAACAAGGCTATTTGCTACAATAAAAAACATATCTTGCAAATATCATACAAATACGTACTATTATAACGGACTCTACAATGAAAAATATATCTTGAAAATATCATTTTTATTTTTTAAGCGTATTGATATTTTTATTTTAAACTGGCGTTCATAATTTAAGATATACATAATCTACAATTAAGATTTTTTTTCTGTAATGCCATCTGTTGATAGCAGTTCCAAGTTCTTTTGGTTTCAAATAATAATAGCACCGAAAACTGTTGACAATCAACTCACCTTTGCTTCCGGTACTGCCGGTGAAGCTCCTCACCGAATTCCTCAGCGTCTTCTCGTCAACGTCGCTCATTCCCGACGTGCTGGTGCTCGATTTGATGATGGACCCCTTGCGTTCGACACTGACCGATTCGAAATTGCCGCATTTGCTGCAAATCTCCTGCGTCGACTTCCGGCGGTCGTCGTCGTAGTAGGCGCGTTCGCGCCTCGTTGCCGGTTCTATCCGGTTCAAGTCGGGAGTGCTGACGGCGGCGTTGTTCGGCGTCGAAGTCGCGAAAGCGGACGCCTCCAGGTACTTCCGCGATCCGTGTAAACTCGGGGTGCTGCCGACCAAGCTCTGCTCGGAGATGGCGTTTAGCACCCGCCGATCGAACTCGACTATGGGCGATTTGGGCAACTTCTTCCGGTACGTCAACGAGGTCTCGTCGTCCGAAAGGTCCACCCGGTTGGACATCGCTTTGTCGTAAGAGCCCTCGCGTCTATAGCTCCCCATGACGTCACCGTAATCGTTCGCCACGTCACCAACACTATCGCGTTCGGATCGCGAGTCGAAACTGATGTCGGCCAAGTTGAGATTTTGCTCAGCGACGGACCCGCCCACGTGTTGATTCTGACCGACGAAGTTGAGGTCTTTCGGTACGCTGGTCGTCGCGACGACCACGACGTCGACTGTGGCGGCGTCGAGCAAGTCAGGCGCGCTCGCCGCGTGCGGCGCGACTTCGTTAAAATTAGAATAACCACATTCTCGGTCTAAATTTATATTGAGGTTGATGGCGTGCGCGTAGCCGGTGGGTATGTTCTGCATCTGTTGGCGTTGCTTTTTGCGCAGGAAGTGGTCGGTCAGCGGAGACGTTTTGCTGAGCGGTTCGCCTCCCGACAATGGGTCCAAACGATCGAATATGGACAAGTCCTGATACGACACGCCGAAGTTACCGTTGAAATTCTGAAATGACAAGTTTAAGGTGGCGTGAATGGGATTCAAAGAGATTACGAAAGTTATCCATTAAGAATTTATTTCAGCAATTTATCAAATTTTCATTCATTTGGGATAAAGAAATTGCGACATTCCGTGTATGTATGGCAAATAGCGTTTATCAACATTTAAAAATGATAGAAGCGCGCTGCCTTGGAAACAATATTACACCATTAAAAATGTATGCATTAGAGGAAAAAATTAAAACGCCTCAAATTACGTGATTTAAGTGATCAGTGCTAACTGGAAAACATCACACCATGTTATTGTTCAAAATGTGATAAATTTCATAAAAAAAAACATAGTGGTAAAAACCGTGTTTGAGGGTTTTTTTTTGAAAAATTTTCTTTCTAAAAATTGGGCATATTTGATATACTGCTCAAATCCTATTAGAATTTTGTTCCACATTGAGAAAGTACAAGATGCTTATTTACATTTTAAAACCCACCTACTGAGTGTGTTAAAAGTCTGTTTTTAATAAATACTAGATAAATATATCAATAAAAACAAACGATCGTAGTAAAGACAAAAAATTAACTTAACTTGTTTAAATAAGATGAATCGGGGTCATTGATACTAATTTAAAAAAAAAGTTAAGTTGTTACTTTCTTTTGTCTTTATGTACAGGGTGTCCCATAAGTAATAGTACATGGCAACTTACCTTGGTTCAAAAGTTGATATTAACCGAGATACAAGGTGTGAAAGTTGCAATTTCATTTTTGATTTTTTAAAATAATTCCTGAAATAATAGAGCTCTTTGCTTGGGCAAATTGGGGTATTTTGACATGAGAAAAACATTTACGTGAAAAATTTTGGGACAGATTGTACCGTACATTTCGTGCATTTGATACTTACTTTTTTGCGCCTTAGTGTATGTAGATTTTCACCTTTTTTAAACAAGACGGTATTAAATGCGCGAAACTGGATTTCTCGCGTCAAAAAAAAAAACGATTTGCCAAATTTTCTGCAAAGAGCTCGTTGTTTAAGGAATTATTTTAAAAATCAAAAATAAAATTGCAACTTTGATACACTGTAGCGCGGTTAATATACATTTTTGCACTAAGGTAGGTTTCATTAATTCCTAATATTTTTACATAAAAAAATGTCCTGTTTTATCATTACTTATGCGACACCGCACCTATATCTAAAATGCATATTTCGAGCTGATCTGAAACAGATACCCATGTGCCATTTTTGCCACGTTTTAACAATACTTTTGGTTAATCTATATACTTGAAAAATGGGAGTTAAAGGCATGCAATTTAATCCACCCTTACGAATACTGTTAGACTAGGAATAAACAGTCCATTTATAGTATACGTTTAAGTGTTACGGTGGAAATTAATTTTGAATTTCTGAAATGGCCTCCAGGGGGCGTGACTGCTATGCTATATATGTATAGCATATAAAAATAAACGCATCGAAATGGCCAACAACTCAGTGAAAACCACATCCCAATATTTTTATTCTAACCTAAAACATCAATAAAAAAACGAATCATTTACACTAATTTATTATTAGGGCAGCAAAATATTATTTAAAATCAAAACATTTTTTTTATTCCTTTGTAAATATTATATCAGTTGCTACAGATGGTGCTCCAGCTATGACCGGGCTTCATATCGTATTTAAAAAATAAAATTCCTGATGCGCTTACTGTACATTACATTATTATACATCGACATCATTTAGTTGCTAGAAATTAAACTGAACAACTGTTTCAATCATTGCAACATGTCATCAGAGCAGCTAATGATGAAGATTTTAACAGATAGATCTTTCACACAGAAGAGCGATGACTATGAAAAGGAAATTGTCTGACTTGTTTTTACAATCCGTATGACTTTGTCATAGAGGTCTTTGAAAACAAAGACACAGAATTGCTTGAAAACCTCATCACATCAAAGAATGATATCGCATACCTGACAGACCTTTATACATTACTTAATGATATGAATATCCAACTTCAAGGTGACTTGAACTTAATAAAAACAAAACATGTCGTTGCTGCTTTCGTAGTCAAGCTGAAGAATATCGGCAGACGTAAGACCTATAATTTTCCCAATTTATCAGAATCGTGCCACAATGACGGCTTGATCCTCTACTGTCAACATTTTTAAAATTTTCATTGAAAGATTTCAGGACATTTTGAAATTGGAAATACTAGACTGGCTGTTACATTCTTTTTCAAATGTCAACATAGCAATATCACCCTAGCTAGAAGAAGAACTGACAACGAACGAGGAAATAAAAATCCAATTCAAAAATGACTCCCAACAATTTTATCAATTAGGTAGTTGTACCCTGGAATGTGGTCGATCGTTTAACGATTTTTGATAACGTTGCGGTCATATTTGTGTGAATGAGGATTTAGCGGTGTGACAACGCTACTTACCAAAGTTGCAAGGTTACCAAACGCCGCGACTTGTGATTGTTTTTGAGTAATATATATATATATATATATATATATATATATATATATATATATATATATATATATATATATATATATATATATATATATATATATATATATATGATGACACTATATTCCGGGATATCATCCGTTCGCTCGTTGAACTCCGACTGGAATCCTGCATCCGACTGGAATCCTGCAAATCTTGCATCCGACTGGAATCCTGCAGACGTTTCGCCAAAATCTCACTTGGCATCTTCAATGCTCGCGCTCCGAAAACACTTCGAGTGTTCGAAGTGTTTTCGGAGCGCGAGCATTGAAGATGCCAAGTGAGATTTTGGCGAAACGTCTGCAGGATTCCAGTCGGATGCAAGATTTGCAGGATTCCAGTCGGATGCAGGATTCCAGTCGGAGTTCAACGAGCGAACGGATGATATCCCGGAATATAGTGTCATCACATTTTTCCATCCGTGAATCAATACGTGAGAATATATATATATATATATATATATATATATATATATATATATATATATATATATATATATATATATATATATATATATATATATATATATATATATATATATATATATATATATATATATATATATATATATATATATTAATATTAAAAATTTGCGTTTTAATTGCTCTCAATAGTAAAAATTTCTAGTTTAGAATGCAAGTTTAAATAGCAAAACCGACTAATAGGGCACACTACAACTAAATTAATTAATTAAAAATAAGTTATTTCCAAAGAGGGCGATAAAAGTTTCTACGAGTTACGAATGACGGATCACGGGATCTCTTCCTGTAACTGCAAATTGAGAAGGGACGCCACTATGTAGGAACAACATCAAAGTCTAACAGAACGGCTTCCATTAATCCCTGATAGCTTGAGGGTAATGCTGAGATTATACAAAAAATTAATGATTGAATCAATAAACAGGATTAATTTATTTCGTTCAACGCAATTTGAACCATTGGCTCGGTTCATCAACTTTGTTGACAGTTACGAACCAAGAACTATTAACTTTGTATTCTTGAAGCTGTAGTACAACGGATCCTGCTTCAAGTTGAATGATATGTGACCGTATTGAGCTGGTAAAAACAGGACTGCCTAACATTAGTTTTAGAAATAAGGTTCATCCAATGACAATTTATTATTTAAAATTATTTCTGACTTTGGTATTTTCTTCTATGCTAAAATTACTGTTATTTATGGTAAGAACTCATGTTGTTGTATCATTAGTTGCAAATGGAGGAATATTTGTTTTTTCATTATTTATTATTAGCTCCTTTCTTACAAATCAAATGCGCACCACCCAGTATTACCCAATGCCAGAAATACGAAGCCGAAAAGTAAATACGTGCGGATCTCTCTCACCTGAAAGACATCCCCGTCATAGGCACCGAAGCCGACGTAGCTATTCCTCTTCGTCTTCTCCATCGTGTTCTCGAAATTACTAGCCGTCATATTTCCCCCCGCCGCCCGTTTGCCATTGTTCAAATTCCCCACGCTGCCGCTCTTGTTGACCAGCATCAGCTGGTCGCCGTATCCGCTGTCCTCGCTCAGATTCTCGCTAGAAAATTTCTTTCCGATGGCGCCAGCGCTGTTCAGGGGCAAACTGTCGAAGCTGCGCCACGTTTTCAGATTGTCGCAGGACTTGGAGCCATCCAGCGTGGTGTCTGAATCGCTGCTGTCGCTGCCGCTCGATCTGCCGACATTGTAGAGGAGACTGTCTCTGCTCACGTTCTGTTTTGACCTGAAACGAGCGACTCGGTGATGTTGAGACAACCTACTTGTCTCCTCTAATTCTATAGATTATTTCAGTTCAGCAAGCCAAAACAAATAGGTCTAAATAATTACAAGAGGTTAGATTATGAAAAGTTACAGACCTAGTGTGAAGGTTTAATGATTTTACAGTTTCTGTCTGGTGGTAGGAAATTGAAAATACACGTAATTATTTTGCTCAATTATAATTTGTTTTTAAATAAATATTATTAAAAGTTCAGATTTTCACGATATTTATATATATATATATATATATATATATATATATATATATATATATATATATATATATACATATATATATATATATATACATATATATATATATATATATATATATATATATATATATATATATATATATATATATATATATATATATATATATATATATATATATATATATATATATATATATATATATATATATATATGATGACACTATACTCCGGGATATCATCCGTTCGCTCGTTGAACTCCGACTGGAATCCTGCAAATCCTGCATCCGACTGGAACAGTGTTCGAAGTGTTTTCGGAGCGCGAGCATTGAAGATGCCAAGTGAGATTTTGGCGAAACGTCTGCAGGATTCCAGTCGGATGCAGGATTTGCAGGATTCCAGTCGGATGCAGGATTCCAGTCGGAGTTCAACGAGCGAACGGATGATATCCCGGAGTATAGTGTCAGCACATTTTTCCATCCGTGAATCAATACGTGAGAATATATATATATATATATATATATATATATATATATATATATATATATATATATATATATATATATATATATATATATATATATATATATATATATATATATATATATATATATATATATATATATATATATATATATATATATATATATATATATATATATATATATATATATATATATATATATATATATATATATATATATATATATATATATATATATATATATATCCCACTATCTTCCAAGCGTCCGTACATTGACAATTTGCTATTTTCCGAGCGTCCGTCTACAACCGGGCGTCCATACATGGACGCTCGGATGCAGCGCTATAGAAACGGTATAAACAAGATCTAAGTAGTCTAAATTAAAATTTTCACAAAGACGCTACGATCATAGTAAACTGATTTTTCTTGTATATTGTTAGTTCAGCTGTATACCCGGTAGAGGCGCGAGACCCAGTCTCTGTATATTTTACAAGATATATTCTACTTTCAGCTCGTCGATTTCCAGGCGTCCTCTGCGCCTTTGTTACGTGGCAACACTGTCACTATTAACTTTTGCAGACTGGCGCGAAATTGTGGGGTAACGGCTCTGCTTCGCCTAGTTGTTTTGTTTTTCATATTGAATGAACTCGATTGGCGCTCCGTAGTTCGAGCATGTAGAGACGGTGGAAATAAAGAATTTTATTTTTTTACCACGAATTCGGAAGTAGGCTAAGTTGGAATTAACGTAAACGTAACACCAATACACAAGACTTTTTTTTTCTATTAAAAAATTAAATAATTAATAAAAGTTTATTTTCGAAATGTGTGGCAAAGAATTCAAAATTTACAAAAATCATATTTATATCCTGTTGCCAATGCCGTACGCTTTATATGATATTAGAATTTAAAACAACATTCTGTGACACGTCGCCAAACTCTTTTGTTTCGCTTGCTCTCTTCGTGAGAAAATCCGCTCATTGCATAAAGTTATTCTTTTTTCAACTACTTGTCCGCCGGTTGCATTTTTTTTTACCTTAATTCAATGAACTCGCGTCTGTCTTTACTTAGAAGCCTGACTAGATTGAAGTCAGTCGTTAAAGTCGGACAACAAACGCAATAACAACACCCAAGACTCCAGGTGGGAATCGAACCAAGAACTTCTACTGCAAGTCGAGTTGGCAGGTCTAACGACTTACCAACCGAGCCATCCTCGATCACTTAAAAAAAATTATATTTTTTATTTAGTTGCACAAATTGCTATTTTTGCTATTATATAATCTTCAGATCCATGAAGCAACATTATTAAAATGTTTTAATTAAACAAAATGGCACCAACAAGTTTTGGTTTTTTATATGCGAATACTATGCAATAACTTCTGAATCTTTTTTAATTTTTGGGCACATTTTTAGATTTATTACTTTCTTCCGATAATTTCTGCTAAATGCTATTTAGAACGGTGTTCGAAATATTAAAAATATCGAATATAAATATTTATATTATAGAAATATTGAACATAAATGGTTGTTTAATGCAATAGGAAAAGAAGTTGTTGGAATTTGCAAATTAAAATATCATTTGCTAAATACTTATCTAAATAATTAGGTAATAAAATATTTTGATTTTATGATCTAATAATATTTCATTAATATTAATAGGTCGCCTATTAAAGTGCGCAACATATAAGAACTATTTTATTGAACGATTTAAGTTGTTGACTTTTGCTTTTAATCAAACCAAAATAAATGTGAAAAGTAACATTTCTATATTTTAGTAAAAATTATTATTTTGAAATGAACTTTGATAAAAGTTGTTCGATAAAAGTGTTCTTTTTAATAGTTATTTTTCTTCATTGTGCCCTAAGATATAAATAAAAATGAAGTTAAACAAGGAATGTGAGTGATGAAAAGTAAAGTACAATAATGTATCACCACTGCCACTGAACAATATTTTCATATATTACTTTTTTTAATGTACCTAAACTTAAATCCTAACAATGAACCTCTGAAATAAAGTATCTTTTTAGGTGATTTTCGACATATTCTCTATAAAGTTTTGCCTCGGGATAAAAAGTGTCTCTTTAGTTCCTTGGATATCATCTAAATTTTTTTCCCAAATTGATTTAAAAAAATCCCCCTTTTACATTCCTGCTCTAAAATACGCATTATACAGTGTGGCTTAAAGACGTTACGTAGGGCTGCGAGCCACTGCGGATATTTCCGGTGATATATTAGCCAGTGCTTTGGTTTGTCGATTCTGATGGTCAATATACACGCATATAGTATGCAACACCTTGTAAACTTCTTCTTTCACTCATTTATTAAGCACTCGCTCCATTCGTGCCAAATAAACTAATATGGCGTTTATTAAACTTGTTTAGCAAAGATTTCTGAAGATTTTTTTTTAAAGGAAACTTTCACAGAATAATGTAAGACTATTTACAAATATTCTGCATTCTACCTGCGTCGGTGGTTGATAAATCGAACTTTCTGACGTTTCGCAAACCATTCTGGAGATCTCACAGCTGGTCCTGTTCATAAATTTGACCGTTACAAGAAAAATATGTTCCAGACAAGCATTTTTCAATTTGGTTGAATATGTTTGATTCCAGATTCCCGAATTGCAATATATCTGAAACAGCTATGTCAAAACTAACCAGAGAAACAGAACAAAAAATATACGACTATGACAAATAGAGTCATAAGCAGTTGCCGAAAACAATAATGACACCGAAATCTCATTCGATCAAATTAAAAATTAATCAATGTAATCGATTGTTCTACCAGCGAAATATCCGAAAATTAATAGAAATCTCTAAACAACCAAACAATCTTAACCGCGACTCTGATTTTCAACAATATGGAAATCCGAGACAATGTTCATGTCACTCTTGTAGCTCCGCCTCTCTCAAACAGTATATCAGTGAGTTCAGAATAGAATGTGAGCAAGCATCACTTAAGCTCTGAGGAAGCCATCAGGATGATTGGTGAAACGTCAGCTAGCTTTATTTATAAACAAAAGATGCAGAAGGGATCTAGAAGATTTGTAAATAGCCTTCTGAAGAAAATGTTAATTTTAACGAGTAACGAATGCCGTTTTCATCGCAGTTGTCTGTGTTCTTTATAATTTTTTTTAATTAAACTAAAATAGTAACTTCTAATTATTCCAAATAACTAACATCGGCCCATTTTAGACCAACATTAAGCACAAACAACACAGTAATATTGCCTCAGTTGGCCAGTTCAAATTATATTACATAATTTCTAAATTAACAGTTTTTCTTAGTTTGGTACCATAATTTATTGATCTGCAAATAAGTCAACTGTCAAGAACTTAGTAAACAATTTAAAAAAATAATATTCAAATATTAGTATTTACTTTTTACAAAACTTCTGGGTTGCATATGCGGCAAAGAATACATTGGAGAAACCGGACGAAAAATATCAACTAGGCTCAAAGAACACGAAAGAGCCTTACGACTAAGACAAATAAATTCATCAGCTGTTGGCGAATTCTTGTATGTAATCAAACAAATCTCTAAACAACCAAAGAATCTTAACCGCGACTCTGGTCTTTACCTTATCAGTGATCCGAGACGGTGTTCATGCCCCTCATTTAGCTCCGCCCCCCTCAAACAATATATATACAGGTACAGAGTAAAATGCGAGCCAGTTTCACTCAATCCCTGAAGAAGCCAACAGGAAGATTGGCGAAACGTCAGCAAGTTCGACTCAGCAAAAACCGGCGCAGGAGGAAACCAGAAGTTTTGTAGAAAGTATTACAGTAGCCTGTGGAAGTTTCTTTGAAAAATTAATAATAGTATTTGCTTTCAATTATTATTATTATTGGTTAGGTTTATGTCCAAGCAGCGCCTGGCTAACGTAAATACATGTGCAATATTTCTGGCAAACATATTCAAGAATCAAAAAATTCAAGAATTACTTTCCAAAATCGGGCGACGTGTTAAAGAAAACATCTACACAAAGAAATTAAGTTTAGCAAAGGGCTTTAAAAACTACCAAATCTACAAAAAAAAAATAATAAAATAAAAAATAAAACAGTTAGCAACAAAACATTTTTCAAAATATAGCGAAAACATGAATCGCCTTATACCCGCTCGACTGTGCACCGTCATGTTAAAAAGGAGAAGCGTGTTCTAAAGACCATATCTATTTATATGTACTTTAATACACAATCAATCGGGCAACGTTGCTCGGACGCTCAGAAATCTGCCCAATAAATGAAAAATATACATACGGACGCTAGGATGC